TGTCCTGTTATTGTTAAGATTTAGCACACTGATTCTCTCAGAATCTCTTGTTTCTGGTGATCTCCTTTGTCAGACAATTAATTCTTACATATCTTAGGCTATATTTCTGGGATATCTTATTCTGTGATGGTGAGTTTTTTGGTGGGTCTATTTTTAAAAGAATATGGAAAAACTGACACACGTGCAAGAGAGGTTGACCCAGATGGAAGCCATGTCATTCTCAGGTAACAGAGCAAGTGATGCTGTCTGTCTGTGAAGACCTGTCCTCTGGTTCCAAAGGCCCAGACTGAGCCATTCTGTGGGAGTTACAGAGAGGCAGGCTTGGGCTCAGCTGCTGAGCAGTTTCATGGGCAGCTCAGAAAAGTATCTGATGTGTTCTAGCTAAAAAGAGAAGGCTCCCTATCTGGAATTTTGGTAAACGGAGGCCTGCCCTACATTAGATGCCAGGTCAGAGAGGAAAACCTCTAGGTCTCCTTCCAACTCCAGAATTTCAGAACTCTCTAGATATTTTTCATCCTTTCATTTATTCAACAAATATTTGTTGAGCATCTACCACGTTGCCAACACCAGTCTCTCTAATCCTGGGGCTGCAGCGGTGCATAACAGAGTTTCTGCCCACTCGCTGCTTCTATTCAAGGGGGAAGACGGCGGATAAAGAAATGAATGAATATATTAATAATGTCAGGTAATGAGAAGTAAAATAAATAAAAATGAAGCAGAGTAAGAAGTGCTACTGTATATAGGGTGTTCAGGGAAGACAATGACGTGACATTTGAGCAGTAATGGATGAGAAGGAATGGATGGGGGGAGGGCTGGGGGTGGGGGAGCCAGGAAAGGGGAGGAAGGACAAGCACCAGGCCGTGAGGTGCCCGGCGTGTTTGAGGACCTGAATGTAACTGACTGATCCACTCATGGGCCCCGTTTCTTACAGAGACAGTTTATTAACTGTTGGGTCTATTGATCTCATTTTTCAGTATCATCATAGGAGCTCTAATTTATTAAGTACCTACCATGTGCCAAGCTTGCTAAACACCTTCTGTGTATTACTTCTAATTCCCACAACAACACTGCAGGTTAGGTCTCAGTGCCCGCCTTTTACAGATGGGGAAACTGAGACTCAGTGCTTCCTCTCGGTAACTTTCTTCTAGTTCTAAGAAGACTCCATTTGGGAAAATATTCAGTTCACAACTGGTTGTTAAATCCTTGAGGCGTATGTATTAGGCTGTATGCACACCTGTCTACAGAAATGTACTGAAGACTTCTATGACAAAATCACACATGACACTGCACAGCCAGCACTAGACTGTCTGTCTACTTAACCCTGAGGAGGAAAAGTACTGTAGGCACTTTGGAGAAACAATTTCTTTATTTGAAATCACTCTTTGAGCTGTTCCTCTGTAAGCTAGCAGAATTTAAAATTAGGATAATCTCCTTTCCTTCTCTACTCCTTAATATCTCTAATTCTTAGTCTAGACATTTCAAGAAACAAAGAATCCTACCCTAGAACCTTAGAAATATATGTTCTGAGTTGACATAAACTTTAACTTTTCAAGAAAACAATGCAGACAAACGAAGAGGACATGGAAATCTATACAGCGTGGGGGCGTGGTCAGGGAAATGTAGGTGGGCAAAAGCTCCTTGAGATTTTTTGAGCCTGCACCAAAATGCCCCTGTGGTTCTTCAGACAGCCCTTCCTTGTCAGCCTCATTGAGCGTTTCCATTCTTCCAGCTTGCGAGGGCCTCAGAGGGATCTTTCTCTCTATAGCTTTCAGTGTGTCCTTTGCACAAGGGTGGAATTGTGTCTACCAGTCCCTAATTCTGACTGCGTGAAGCGTCTTTACAAAGCCTTCCATTCTGTAGGCCCTTAGGGGGAAAGGGCATGCTTCAGCTGAGAGAATTGCTGTGCATCTCCCAAACCCAGCTCACTCCCACTTCCTGCCTTCTGACAGCTGAAGGTTTTAAGGTTCTCCTTTTAGCACAGTTCTTTAAAAATTTAAATGAGACGTGAAGTCATATTATAGAAGCGAGCTCCCTGTCCGACCCGGTAGGGCCAGTGTGCAGCTGGGGCCCATCGTGGTGCTGAGATGGGGCCACGTCAGTAACAGTTCTCTCGGGTTCCTCTTTCTTAAAACGACACTGGCCACGTGGGAGCTCTTAGTCTCGATGTTTTTGATTTCCACATTTTTCTGTTCATAAAATATTTGGTTCTCAGAGGTGCTGACAGGTGATAATAACAAAAATGAAACTGATTTGAATTTGACTTTAGTTATCAACTCACTACTGTCGTAACAAAAAAGGCAAGGATTGGCCCTGTGGTCTTAGGCTTCCCTGAGGTTTCCCCACAAGTAACAGGCACCACTCCTATCTTGCAGGATTGGTGTGAAGAGCCAATGAAATAGTGTCTGCAAAGCAACTAATGCAGTTTTCCTTCTCCTTCTCCTAGTAATTATAATAATTTCAGAGGAGGAAATGAAAGTTGCAGTCTTGGGTGTACACAGAGGGTTTATATAGATTTGTCCCACAAAAAGGAGGTGCTTTCTTATGGTAACAGTGAACTTTGAGGGTCTGAAATGCTCCTTCTGCTGCATAACCCTGTAACTCATTTACCAAGTTGGAAACACTGCTTTATCAATGAGTACACCAGTTCATGTGTGTGTGTATGTGTCTGTGTGTGTGTTTGAGTCTATGTCTGTCTGTCTGTCATTGCATTCAAGTGCTTCCTTGTGGATGAGGAGCCTTCTGAACCCCACTTTGGCCAGCTGGGCCTTTGATTTGAGGCCTCACTTGATAGCCACAGGAAGGAGGTCCCTATTCCCCAGCCAGGGGACTGAGCAAACACGGGGTTTAATAGTAGTAATAGTAATCATAGCAGCAGCTAGTGTTTATTGACTGCCTGCCACACAGCATATTTTTCCCGTTTCATCCTGATCAGAACCCTGTGAGACAGACCACGCTTATCCCCAGGAAACCAAAGACCGGTAATTTTCCCGAGGTCACACAATAGTATGTACGTCTCTATATATGCTGCAAATGTCCTCTTTCCTTTCCTAATACAACCTCCATGACAACTCCATGAGCCCTGCCTTTCCCCTCCAGCTAAACGCCCAGCGTCCATTTGCAAACCACTTCCCGAGCCTCGGGAGTTGAGGAGATGTGGAGAGCATGGTCTGATTACGTTTCTAGCACGGTGTTGATATGTTTGGATGTGTCCTGTTTCCCACAATAGAGAATAAACTCCAACAGTCAGGGTGCGTGAGGTCCTCCTTTCTAGCTCTCCAACATGTGGCTCAGAGAGTGAGTCCTGAGCGGTCTAGAGATGGCATCTGCTTGGGCAGTGTCACCAGCGAGGCTGTCAGTGGGAGAATGACTACTGAGTGCACACTTCTCTTCTCAGGACGATTGGTCACCTAGTTTCTCTGCCCACAAGACATTTTATGCAGCAAGTAGAACAAGCCTGGAGATGAGCCTGGGCTCAGACTCTCTTCAAGAAGCAGGGCTGACGGTTGGCAATCTGATGGTGGAGGAAACCAAAACAGGCTAATTAGTGAATCACGTTCAAAAAGAACAAGCAGTCTGGGGCCATCTGGCATGGGAACAGGCAACCCCTGATGCTTCCGCGGCCCTGAAGACCTCATTGTGTGGCTGCATTTTTTAATTTATCAACACCTGCACACATGTGCACACACACATACAACGTGTATAAAATTATGTGCTGGGCACTATTTAATCACTTTACTATTAACTCATTTAATCTTAAGAAACATGTGAAGTAGGTACTGTTGTTATCTTCGTTTTACAGATGGGGAAACTGAGACACAGAGAGGTAACTTGATCAAGATCCCAGAGCTAGTAAGTCACAGAGCCAGGATTACCACCCAGCCAGATGGTACAATAATTCATTATGATGATGCTTAAATATTAGGAGAATGTGAAATATTTCTAATATACAGATATTGTGACAAACGTAATACATCGAGAAATAGTTTTATGAAAAATTATTTTCTTTAAGTTTTAGATACTTAGTTCCAGCTATTTAGAAAATTCTGTTTTTAAAGGAATATTTCTCAAAAAATTGAAACATGTAGTGTGTATTTAAAAAGAAAAAGGTCAAAAGGTGCAAATAGTATTAACCTGTGACTTTACAAAGCCCTTATCTACGATATTGTGATGCAGGCTGGGTGCGTACTTTTGTTTCATGCTATCTGTCAGGGATTACACACCAAGAAGCTCTGTGCTTTGACCAAGACAACCCAGCTAGGTCAGATATGGAGCTTAAATCCCAGCCCTAACCGTGCTTCATAGAGTATATAACCTACTGGAGAGAGGATGAAATATGTTCTAAAGTAGCAATTGTATATCATCCTTAAGCTTTCAAGTAATCTGTTTTGTTAGCGAATGAATCAAAAGCATATTTGCCTGTCTTGTGCATCCCACACGTACCAAACATAGTCCTGAATATATGATACATATTCAGTGAATCCTTGTTTGTTTGTTTTTAATCCGTATTTTAATTTAGAGTGGATTAAAACTAAGATGTCCCTGTATCGTACCATCCCCCTCTATAAAATTGTAAGTTCCAGGCATGGAGATAGAGCTGTGGAATTTGAGCAGCCCTGGCGCCAGCTGAAAGTGACTTGTTCATTGTTCCTATCAGTTTTTCTTGTTCATAAGATATTGGTCTCCTGAATGGATCGTCCATTTGGTAATTTCTTGGTGAAAGGCTGAGTCTTGTAGATGCCTAATATAGTACAAGTTCTTACCAATATAAAATAACAGCTTATTTGGGGCTTGGTAAAACTCCCATGCCTTAAGGTATACACAGTTTATAAATCAGCCAACACGTATTTATGACGTATCTACCTTGTGCTCGGCAGTCACTGATAAAGCCTGGATTCTGTTGCCAGGAGGCATATACTGAGAGAAAATTGATTGCAAATAACTGTCTCAGGCTCTGCTTTGAATTTCTCATTCACATGTTACTCTTTTCTTTTCCCCTCAAGGGTCGAGATTACTGTTCGGAAGAAGAAGATATCACATAGCACCAATTCTACCACTCAAACCCGGAGCTACTACTGTGTAAATAGGTTACACCCCAGTTGAAATCTTTGCAAAGGTCGGTTCTCTTCAACGAACAGCTCTATAGCAAAAGAAGATCGTTCCATATCGTATGCCCCATTAAATTACAGTGTTTCTTAATGAACTTGCAAAGGAATATTGCTAAAAACAAACAAAAAACTGTTATTGAACTTTCTTTGTTGCTGCTAGTTAAAACTTGTTGCAACTTTTCACTTCTCTTGTGTCCAGGTATGCAGCAAAATTCTGCAATTTCACCTTAAAGATCCTGTTGGTTTTACAGATGTTCTCCAACCTATTTTCTATAAGATGAGGTAGTGGCGAACTCAGATATCAAACTTCTATTCTAGATGGTTCTGCTTCTAAGACAAGCATCTCCTTCCCTCTCTCCCTCCCTGTCCCTCCTGAGCTGTCCAGAGCCTGGCTTCTCACTGGCAATGTTGTGCTTTGGAGATGGGATGGTTGCTATGGCAAGCTTTGTTTCTCTGCTAAGAAGAAGTAGAGAAGCTATTATTGGTTAAAAGCATGTTGTGACATGACGTCTGGAAGTGGCGTAGGAGCGAGCAGCAGGTTCTTTCATTTACTAGGTATCTTAATCAAGGATTAAGCTTGCAACATTGGCTTTGCTCAGATGCAGACGGAAGTGTGATCACAATCATTTTGAATCCCTCTTCCCCCCTTTTTTTTCTAAGAAAATAAACATTTTACTGTTTTTATGTATCCTTGTCTTCTCCCATTCATCCAGTTCAGTGTTTTACAATGATCCTGAGTGTGGAAGATGAGCCCTCCTTTGCAATGACACTGATAATTGACCTTCATGGCTCTGTACCCTCCCATTAATAACCCACCAAGCATTAGCAGGGCTCTAAGTGTTCAGAAGAGGTGAGGGGACCTCCCAGGACTTTTTAGGAGGGCCTGAAAACACCCCATTACCTTTCATTTCGTTAGCAAATAAACCATCCTACTTCCTAATTCTCTCCCCTTGAAATGTTACATGAGCCTTGCCTCTGCCTTTTTCTCTTACTCACAGCACTGAATAGTACAGTGAGAAGTGTTTGCCTTCTGGAAAACGTAGTACCTTTACACTGGTGATGCACAGGCCAAAGCCCCAGGGCGGAAGTGGGAAATGTTAACTGTGGGTTTGGTAGAGTTTATTTTTCCATATTCTATGAAGAGAGTGATCTCTTCTCAAAGACAGAAGTAATATTTTTAACAAATGTTGTCACAAGTAAATAGCAATCAAAAGGAGAAAATAACTTTTGTATTTTTTTAACGTGTTTGATAGCTTTGCCGAGGGTCCTCTTTGTTACTTTCAGGGGAGGGCACCCTATTAAATGCTACGCCAGCAGTCCAGGTTTGGGTTTGTCCCACAAAAACAGAGAAGGAGCACTGTAGGTTTCTCTCTTTTGGGGTTGAGAATATGAAGGGCCTCGATATTGGCCACACTACCAACCTCCAAAGGTGGGTAGTTAATATGTTCTAGGTAGTCAAGAGATCACCTGCCACAGAATAGAAGAAGTTCAGTTTGTTCTGGCTGAGATGAGCCTCAACTTTAAAATCCATTACACAGTTGATGGCACCGTTGATGTGCTAATGGTGAGATTCCTTATCTGTTTTTAGACCCCCAGCACAAAAGTGAGAGGAAGGAAACTCAGTCAAGAGCTATAGAAAATGGACTCAAATGTTAGCAACAAAAGCCCTTAATTCTTTCAGCCAACAGCAGCTATTCTGGGGAGCAGCTGTGGTTGTTACATCAATAGAGATGCAGCCAAAATTTAAGGCTTTTTATCCTGCTTCAAGCAGAAAAATGCAGGGAGAGTCAAGTCGCCTAGGGTTTTAAGTTCCCTCCCTTTGTATGGTTTTTGGCCAAGTGACTAAAACAGTTTTCCTCAACTGTAAACGAACTGCTAAGCCCCACCTCAAACTTGTCCACTGGGGTCTTTGTTCACTGTTATGTGGATGACCTTTTCCCCCCGTTTCTTGTTCTTATCAAGCAAGAATGAAGCAAACGCTAAACGTCTTCCATTTGACTCCTCTTCTGGGCGTCTCAGATCACGTCTTCCCAGAAAACCACCACCTTCTACCCGAAGATGAAACATGCTCGTGTCATTTTTCTTACAGTCATGTTTAACATTTTGGGACGATACACATGTACACAGAACCAAGTGATTCTTGGGAACCTGACGTGTGAGTGTTTCATAAAACCAGAAGTGTCATGCCCATGGACCAGTGGCTTTCCACCCAGAGTTCTGTCTCCCGGGTTTAACACTGGATACCTTTTTGATGTGCAAACGTGATTTCCTCTACAGACACATTTGGTACCTCTAGAAATAGATCTGAGAAATGGGGTGGTTCAGCAGGTTGGCGTGAAACACTTGATTATGCTAGCAACACTCAAAACTGTCTGTTTCTCATTTGTTGGTTTTAATCATAAAATTGTCAAGTGATTTGTGTTTGTACTTAATATTTTTTTATGCCTTCTGAAAGGGTCTAATGCAAAAATATTTTGCCTTTTTTTTCCCCTGTGTATCTGAACATTAAGCAGATTGTCTCAGATACAATGAAAAGAATAATCCAGAAGCTAGTGCTTCTGCTGGCTGTTATCTCTGAGGACTCAGGGAGATGGAAGGAGGGAGGGAGGGAAATGGCCTGGTGGATGGAGGGAGGAAAAGGATGAGAAATGGGCTGAGAAGCATTTAGCAGAGAGAGTTGATAGAATGGCTGTGTGCCGGGTACAGTTCAAGATCCAGCTGCCCAGCGGCCAGTGGGTGGGGCCGACTGTCAACAAGATTTACAGCTGGATTACACACGCCCTATGTGCGCTGAGTTGTAGGGTTGTAAAAGTTCAGCAGTTTATATGCGACTTTCTTTTGGTTGGCAGAGATTCAGGATCATGGAGTACTGCTGTCATAATTGAATACGTGTTTGTCACTGGCAGAGAGCCTTAAAAGAGGCTTTTGCCTCAGTGATGGCTCCTAGCCCCAGGCTGGAGCATAGAGTGGTGTTATGGTCTATTTAGGAACAAAGAAGGTACAAAGTCTGGAGACCAGAAAACTAGGTCAGCCCTCAGAAACAGCAGGGGCCACCCACTGGCCCGCTGGGAGACAAGGCTCTCCCCATCGTCTGCAGTGCCCATGGTCTGAGACTGGGCTTTGATGACTCGAATAAGAGATGACCTGACTGAGGAGTAGCCTCAATTCTTTAGTCCTCCGCCCTGGTGCCAGCCTCCTCCATGTTATAAGGAAGCACTTCTGCATCAGGGGCTCACCCAGGGTCAGGCATGGTCGTGCCTGCAACCTGACAGCCCCCAGGAGCAGGCCCAGGGATGATGGTGCCCACTTTTTGGTCCCATCGATGCCATCCCACTTTGAGGATAACTTTGTCCTCTTCTCGACTTCATTGCTAATTTTTTTCTCTTGGGGCCAGATACTCCCATAAGCCTGCTAAAAACAGAGATTATACCTCTTATGAATTTTACCTCAGTCGCCTGTGAGGCAGACTGGCTTATTGATGACAAGTCCTACTTAGACATCGGACAAGAATTTTAAAGAACATTCCATCTCTATTAGTCTTAGAAAAGAGACTCGCTTAAGTATGTTGGTTTCATAGAAAGGAAAATTATCAAATTCTTAATCCAGGAAAATACTGACTTTGAATCTTGGACTCCGGGACTCTGATATGTTCTTTATGAAAGACAAAACAATGGTATCTAAGGCTCCTTCCTCCTCCCAACTCCCTTATTAAAAAAAAAAAAAAAGGCATTAGATTGTACTCTCCAATGCGTAAAATCTGCCTTCCATGCTTTTCCCCCTGGAAGACATTCTCAGAGCTTTATTTCTTTGTGCGTCTCAGAAATTAAACTTTTTATTAAGTTGCTTAAAACCCCAGAAGAAAAATAAGGCAAAGTCGGGAAGAGGGAATATGTATTTAAGGGCGTAATGAAACAGTGGCTTGAAGCAGGAACTTTGGCTTCTCGCTGCCACAGGTGGATTACTGGACCCCCGTGGGCCCATGTCAAGCTGGGGGAGGCAGTCGGCTTTCACTCTGCACACGTCCCTGCAATAAACCTTTGGAATTTCATGAATGAGGTCTCTGACTTGCCTTTGGCCAATGAATGGATGTGTTTTTCCAGGGGGAAAGAAAATGTCCTTCACTTCAGTCACCTTTTCAGTTGACTCTGGGAAAGAGTCAAAAAGCAATGGCGGAAAATGAGGATTGTGGGTGAATATATTTACTTTTGTGACAAACCGTAGGACTCACTAGCTATGCCATGTTTTTCAGGGGACTCTTGTACCTTTTCTGGGATCTAATCTAATCTAATCTGGGGAAAAGAGGAAAAGGAACTAATATTTATGATTTATACTCACTCTGTGCCAGATCTTGTGCTAAGCATTTTGTAATTGTCTTGTGTAGCCCTCACAATAATCCTGTGGAGTGAATCTATTACCCTCATGTTCTGAGTAGTGTATCTTACGTGTGGAATGCATCTATCCAACCTAAATGCCCATGTTGAAAGAAAGAAAGATGTCATTCAAGTATTTCCCCAATTTTTTTATTATTACTATGCCCTTTGCAACACTGTGAAAACAAGCCTTTGGGGGCACCTACCTTCCAGAATCTCTCTTTGGCTCATCACCAGCTTGGTTTCCCCACGAAAAGTGTTTTCCTTGGACTTCCCACATCTGATGAGCTACACACAGACCAGGAGAGGCCACTGACTTATAGAACATTAGTGCCCAGAAGGAAAAGGCTTTGCGAATTAGGCACATCTCTCCCCTTGGAATCCTTTCAGCATCCGGGAAAGGAACCTGGTACTTCTGCGTTTAGATACCAGATACAACCAGAACAGGCTTTTGAGTGCTGTGATTTCTTTCCTGGGTCCCAAGGCTTATTTCATCACAAGCTGCATCTTTTTAAGGTGAAAAGCCTTACCTTTGCAGAGAAGTTTGGGAGACTCTGATCTCCAAAGATAGAGGAAAGGCCTGGACCATTGACTTGAAATCCCTTGTTGTGGGCTAGGGTTTGATGTCTCTTTGTTCTTTGAACTGGGAGTCTGTATTTTCCAGGCTAGTTAAGCACTGAAACTAGATGTGAATCTCTTTAAGACCCTAAATGTTTTGGATACTCATATAATGACTCGGATAGTCACTTAAATAACTTGTTCCAAGGTCAGAAGAGCCGGAGAATTCCCCGGAGTTCCTGTCCTTGTGTCTAAAGGCATATCCTCTAAAGAAGATGACTCACGTCTCCATAGCAACTATTAAAGGTGCTGCCTAGAGGGGACCCGCCCCCACCCTCACTTACTTAGCTTGAAAGAATCAAAAGAATTTCCTGTGTAGAGGGGGTGCTATGTTCAGTGTTCCTACAAAACTGTCCCAAGATCCTGTCTGTTTCTGACCTGGCAGCAGTCAAATTCCTTCAAGATAATGTGGGAAATGGCTCTTGTCTCTTGGAAGCCAGAGAAGTTGCTTTGGTTCAGCAAGATTCACCCATAAACCAAAGGCCCCATTCTAATAGTCTTCCCTCTTGACCCTGAATTCTCCCTTCTTCCCTTTCCAGAGGTCATTTTTAGTCCAAGACTTTGAACTTGTTTAAGACTTAGAGGCAGTAAAAAGAACACCATAAACTCAGCCAGAACTGCCTTGGTGTCCCTAGGGTTGAAAATAGTTCTAGAACCTTGGGGGCCACTTGGCCTAGACCCAGAAGTGATAGAACAGCCC